CAGCCAGCTCCCCTGGGCCAGTCCCCACCCTGCCAGCCACCTTCTCCACAGGGCCCTCCAGCCAGCTCCCCTGGGCCAGTCCCCACCTGCTCCTTAGCCCCACCCTCCTGGAGGTCTGCTGGGGCACAGCTGACTCCACCCAGCCCAAGAGCGAGTCGAGTTCTTTTCACACTCGGCCCTGACCCTCTCACAGCACCGCCTCTGCCCCCTTGTCCTTGGGGCTCAGCCCAGTGAGGGCTCCCCCCACCCCGTGCCCATGAACCGTCCCCAGCTGCCTTGCCCGTGGGGTCAGCGCAGCAGGCTGCTGCATGCCCCCCTCCTGCCAGCCGCCCCCTGCTGCACTGTGCGTGCTGCGGGCTCCTCAGCACACTCACTCTGCAGGGTACCGGTGCAGCGAGTTGGTGGCAGCTGGCAGGAGCAGGACACACAGCTGCCGCCGCCCTGACCCCCTGGACAGGAGGAATGAGCAGACCCGATCTGAACCCAATCCTTGCAGGCTGGCCCCTCAGTCTGCAAGGCTCTGCTACCCGCCCCCTGCCAGCAGGGGCCAATGCACCTGTAATTGGGGGCTAGAGGCTAGTAAGGGCAGCAGGTCGAAAGCATTGGCTCTGGGATAATTGCCCTAGAGTCCCCAGCTGAGAGCAGAGCCCTTGTGGTGGGTACTGTATAGCTGGCCTGGTACATGCAAGCCAGCAATGCAGACCTCCATGCAGGACCTGTTTGTCCAGGGGTGGGATGGAGGGCAGCTCCCAGCATTGCCTGGCAGCTCTTAATACGCTCCCATGGGGCTCTGCAGAGCCTGCCCCCAACCCCCCTGCCCATTTAGGGCAGGCCAGGAGCTGGGGCTGAATGGTGCTGCAGGGGCGTGGGGTTGCCATGCCCTGTGCTGTGAGCTCCCTAAGTGGTCCCACCACTCCTTTGCCAGCGCTCCTCTTTGTTCATGCTACAGGCTCATTTCACTGCCGATCACTGGTTGCTAAAGACTATAAAATACTGCAGACTAGTTGCCAGGGCATAAAAACACCAGCTCCCACCAGCCCAGTCCCTGCCGCTCCCCCTGAGTACAAGGGCAGCACAGGGTCACTGGGAGCATGCTAGGGGATCTCCTGCCCCAGCCACTGCGCAGCCTGCTGTGGGGAACAGGCTGGGCTTCCAACAGGGGCCGTAGCCTGTATGGCAAGGGACTGCCCCAGGGCTAGAGGAGATCCCCAGGAGGGAGGGCGTAAGACCCTGCACCACCATTCTCAGGTGAAGACGGCCTGGGATCCCTGCTCTGGACTGGGTCCTAGCGTGGGGCTGGCCTGCAATGCTGATAAGCCAGTTAATGCACAGACCAGTGTGAAGTCTGCCCCTGGACAGCTTGTTTGCTCACTGGGGAGAGGAAAACCCCAGCTCAGTCTGGCACCAAGCAACAGTCCCTGGCTTGGCCTCAGCCCAGCTGGGTGACCTTAGCAAGGGGCTTCTTCGTCCCCTTGGACCTGGGTTCTCTATCTGGAAAATAGGGCTACCCCTTCCCAGGGGCTGAATCCACTAGCAAGCGGGAGGTAGTACGGGGACAGGGACAAGCCAGGCCTATATCCTGCCATTCCCTTCATCCAGAGCAGTGAGGCCCTTTACAGAGCTAGATTCCCCCACATTCCCAGCTCTGGGTGTAGCACCGGCCTCTTCTCTCCAATCACCGCACTGTCCTGCCTCCACGGGCTCTGGCAGGCCCCATTAATCATTTGCAAACAGCTGAGAAGGAGTCTGGCCCGGCGCCCCCACCTGGCCTGCTCCTCATTCCCAGCAGTGTGCAGGCTGGGGACTAGCACTGCTTATCAAGGCCCCTGCTGAGGAGGGGGAGCTGGTATGTCTGCCCTAGCTCTGGGGCCAAGGAGAGGTGCTATGAGCCAGTGGGCCCCTCCGCTCACTAGCTGTCTCCATCTCCCCTAGCCAGAGAGAGCTCTCACCCAGGAATGCTACAGCCACTGATTTGGGGAGGCCAACCTGTGACCCCCTGTGTCTGATTTTCAGTGGGGCTGAGTACCTTACCTGCAGCTTGATAGCAAGGCGAGCCACAGCCACACGGCCCCCCCTCTGGAAATCAGTCCCCACGTGCCCAAACTGGTCACCCAAGCGCTGAGTCCCCAGGATCGGTGGGCATTTTACATGCAACTGCCTGTGCCTGGAGCATGCTGCTCTCCTCCTCTGCCTCCTTTACCACCCCCCACCCCTCAGGAACCCAAACACAATAACCTCGCACATTCTGTAGCACTGCCCACACCAAGGCATGTGCAAACACCACCTGAATCCCTTCATCCGGCAATGAAATGCAGCCACCTCTGGGGTGGGAACGCAACAGGTGTTTGATGGAGCCCAGCAATGCTATAATGCACCAGCTGGGAACTCCCAGGATGTTGATGGGGTGGAGGGCAGGCAGGTGGAACCCAGGAGTCCTGCACCCAGGCCTGTGCTTAAATCGCATGAGCTGTCTCCTAGTCCCTTCTCCATTGGGACGCAGGGAGCAGCCAGGAGGAACCTGCTGTGCTGTGAGGAACAAAGTTCATCAAGTAGCACTGAGCAAACCAAACCTACAGACAGAGTGCGCCAAAGGGTAGCCTCCTGCAGCAAAGGCTGGTTCCCCCGCAGGTTCTCAGGCCAGAGTCCAAAGGGGCGTGAAGCGCAGGAGGCACTATGTTATGAGCCGTCCCCAGCTCAGCACAGCTCAGCTCGGGCCAGGTTTCCTTTCACGTCACCTGCCAAAGCTGCTGCTGAAGGATTAATGGGGTCCTCGCCCAACTCACAGCCTCTGTCCAGTAGCTGAGGCAATAGGCCCCATCCTGCTAGTTCTTACTAAATGGGATTACAAGTGGTGGAGGGGAAGGGGTTAATAGTTCCTGATGCGCAATACCCCAGCAGCCCTAGGCCTAGCCCTACAATGAAAGTGCAGGAGGAAGAGAGCCCAGGAGATCTCCCAAGGGTGATAAATGTGGGCCAGTCAGCACCAGCTCAGCCTGGATCGCTCCAGGGCTGAATCCTCTACGGCCACTCCTCCGCCTGAACCTCCTCAGTCTCACCTGGAACAGCTACTGCATCAACCAGCCTCCTGCCACACGCACCCCAGGGCCCCGTTCCTGCACCCACAACCCCTGGCACCTGCATGGAGCCAGCTGCAGACTCAGGCCCTGGCTTGGCAGCACCTCTAGCCTCAAGCACATCCAGCTGCAAAGAACACCAGCTGTCTTCACATTCCTGGATGGCACCTCCCATTCTCTCAGGGTCACAGGCTTTAACGCAGCCTCACCCTGTCGCCATCTCCCTTCAGCGCAGGTAGGAACCTCCCAGCATGCACCCCCCTTTGCTTTACAGAGAGAAGGTAAGTACATGGGCTGCCAGCTGCTAGCCCAGCTCAGGGGAACCGGCTGGGGGGGAAGCACTCAGGTGAGCAGCCATTGTGAGCTCATGGCACCTTGCACCACTGACGTTCTCCCTGGCCCCAGCTTTGCAGTGGTGTAGCCCTGTTGACTTCATTGCAGTGCCTCCTCATTTACACCAGCGTGGGTGAAATCAGAATCAGCCCTGTAGCCCCCGTGCGCGCACACACACCTCGCCCAGGTGCGAAGGATCCCATGGGGCTGGGGGGGCAGCAGGCTCAGTGAGGAGTGAGTCTGTGTGGACAGATGCTTTGGAGCATGGCAGTGTGAGTGGAGGGGGCAGGTGATCTAGTTACAGAGAGTTCCCAGGAACCAACCAGCTGCAGCGTACCATGAGTTGCTCTTTAACCAGCTCCTCTGTTAATGATCTACTCTGCTGCTGCCCTGCCCTGAGCAGAGAGGCTGAGCGAGCACAGGGGCACCTCCTGGAATTCAGCTCCAGGAGCGGGCCAGGCAGCCAGCCAGCCCCCTCGATACCAAAGAAGCCCTTCACCATCGAGCACTGTGCGGAGCTGGAGGACGGGTGGGGCCAGTGCAAGGCAGAGAGCCGGGGAGCAGTGCTGTGGGGGGGACCCTCCTGCTCGCTCCAGGCTGGGCTCAGGCAGAGTGTAGGATAATCAGCCATTTTATTAAGTGTTTCCTTCTAGCTCCATCAACCTGGACCAGGGGCCCACCCCCTTTGCCCAGATAAGAGCAAACTCCAATTGCATCTGCTGTCCCTGGTGTTCCACTTGGGCGGTGCTGCGAGCCAGGCAGGTAGGCTGTACCCAAGATTGGCACCGCGCACTCTGTTCTAACAATACAGCCTTCCGGACCCGCTCCAGCCCTTCACGCCCAGTGCATGCCAGCCTGGACTAAGCTTTGTGGGCGCGGGTGCCTGAATTC